CGGCTGCGGCGGCAGAGGACAAGGTGCGTGGCCCGGGCAGAGCCGTCCTGTGACCCTCAGGTTAGGGAAGGCGCGGATTTGGGGACAGGGTAGGCTGTGTGTGGCAGGCTGGCCTCGAACTCACAGCGATCCTCCTACCTCAACCTTTGAGTGCTGGCATCACAGGCGCGTGTAGCCACGCCTGGGGAAGATGCGTACATTTATAATAACATGGCAAAGGCCAACGGTGATTTTTTTTTTTTTTTTTTTTTTTCCTTTTTTTTTTTTTTTGTACCTAGGGTCAGGACTTTTGCACTGAGCTACATTTACAGCCCTCTTATAAGATTTATTATTTAATTTTTAGACAGGCTTTATTTAAATTTGGTAAATTACCAGCTTTGGACTTGAACTTGTGACCCTCCCGCGTCAGCCTCCCAGATGCAGGTGGAGTGAGGGCTGGACAAGCGATCAGCAATAGGCAAACCCACAGCCTTGCTGCGAATTCTCGGGTCTGAAGCAGTCAGGGGTGTGAGGCCCAGGGCCCCAGCAAAGTCCCTGGTTGGTCACTGTCTGCTGCACAGGCTGGGTGTCGTTTCCAAGAAGGTTTAGTGTGGTTTAGGTGCATAACACCTCACTTTTAAAGAAAGTCTATTTATTAGAATTAGATTAGCCATTGGGCTTTGGGGGGCTGGGTTTTATTTATTTTTAGGTACTAGGGATTGATCCCAGGGCCTTAGCCCTGAGCTACCTCCCCAACCCGTTTTTATTATTTTGAGACACAGTCTCACCAAGTTGCTCCATTGCCCAGACTGGGCTGGAGCTGAGGTTCCTCCTGCCTCAGCCTCCCAGAGCACTGGGGGCATGCACCACCCGCTTGTTTTTGTTTGTTTTTCCCAAATGAGAACGGCCTAAAAGATAAGCACAGCTGACAAAGGAAAGAGAGGAGGCTAGGCTGGGGAGGTGGTGCCGGCAGGAGGCTGGGCCGTCCTGGTTCAGCCCCCTGTGAACTCAGGAGCCCTGTCAGGACAGGTTGAGGCTGCAGGGAAGGCAGGGGAAGCAGCTCTGTCAATACTTCCTGCTTTTTACTGCAAAATAGGCCACTCTAAATCACAGATTTTTATGGCAGCAGACGGAGAGATGGCCCCGGTTTATGTCAGAGCAGGGACTGCGCTGTGTGAACACTTTGCCCGAATTCAGCTTTTCTCCCCAGAACCCTCAACCTGATTGAAATCCTTCCTCTGGCTGTGAACAGTTGAAAGAGCTGCACTGAGGACCCCAGAACCGAGTTAATCTAAGAAGCCACTAGAACCGGATAGGATTTCACCCTCCACAAGTACGTGCTGGAGTGCTGCTCCCCCCACTCCCCGGAGGCTGAGGCAAGAGGATCCCAAGCTCAAGCACAGCCTGGGAAACTTAGTAACCCTGTCTCGAAATGAAAAAATAAAATTACGACTAGGGCTGTGGCCTTACACAAAGGCCCCGGGTTCGGTTTCCATTCTCACATCCGCGCACACACAAAAGGAAAACTCGAGTGACTGAGTGACAAGCCGACTGCCTCTTTGCAGGGAGCTGTTCCCAGAAGAGGAGCCAGAGGCGAGGCGAGGCGGTTCTCTGTGCCCGGAGATGTTGGAGAACAAGATGGAGAAGAGACACAGGGTGAGTGCAGCGCGTCCGTGCCCACGTGGGGGCGCTCGGGGCCCTGTGGCACCACAAGAGCGGATGGCATTCGTGCTCAGCGTGACAGTTGCCCCAGGCTCAGGGAGAGCGACTGTGCGGTTGCGAGGAAATCTGGGCGGGGAGCGGCGCCGGGGGAGGAGCACGGTCCTGCTGGTCCCGGATTGCGGGTACCCGGACTGTCTTGGGTCTGCTGGGCACAGGGCCTGGGAGAGGGGGAGCAACGGCTCTCCTTCAAAAGTATTTTCCAAAAACTGCATCTTTGAGAGAATCTAAAGGGTCAACGCAGTGAAAAGACGGCACAGTCATGTGACTGGGGTGAAGCCAGTTTGGGAGAGGAGCACAGAGCACTAGGACAAGAGATGAGGCAGACAAGTTGGAGTGATCACCCTTGTTGTTGTTACTGGGAATGAATTGAACTCAGGGCCTTCACACTGAACTGTGTCCCCACCCTCTTTTTAAAATTTTATGTTTCTGTTTGTTTTTGTGGGACAGGGTCTCACTATGTAGTTCAGGCGGCCTTGAACTCATGGTGATCCTCCTGCCTCAGCCTCCCAAGTGCTGGGACTACAGGTGTGTGCCACCATATCTGGCTCCTATTTTATTTTGAAAGAAGTGCATATTTCCAGTAATATGGAAATTAAAGGACAAAGCCCCTTCAAATTTGATGAGAATTAAAGATTAAAGCGTTTGTTGTTGTTATTAGCAATTTTTTAAAAGTGATTTTACCTTTGATAAAGCCATTTTGACATCCAGGTAAAACTATGAAAATTTGTCCCAAGACTGGGGATTTGGCTCAGTGGTTCCGTTGCCTGCCTTGCAAGAGCAAAAGCCCAAGTTTGATCCCTGATACCAAAAAAAATTTTTGTGCAATATCATACTAGTAGACAGATCAAGAGATTCAGATTTAAGAGAAACCAAGAGAGGTAGATTAGATACATTGTATAAACTGGGCATAGTGGAACACACCGGTAGCCCTAGCACTCAGGAGCTGAGGCAGGAAGATCACCAAAAGTTTGAAGCCAGCCTGGGCTACGGTGAGTTCATGAGTTTAGCCTGGACTACACAGCAAGACCCTGTCTCAAAAAAAAAAAAAAAGTTGGGGGATAATATGGAGGTAAAGTAACCATAAATATATATAAATCATGATGAGAATCAGGCATACAGTGTTGGGGATTGTGTTTTGTTTATTTGTTTTGTACTGGAAGTTGAATCCAGGGCTTTTATGCTGAGTTACATCTCCAACTCTTTCTTTGTGTATGAGGGATCAAACTCAGGACCTTGTGTTTGTGAGGCAGGCAGCAGAACCACTGAGCTAAATCCCCAGCCCCCCAACTCTTTTTATTTTGGATAAAGTCTCACTAAATCACTGAGTTGCCCCAGCTAGGCTTGAACTCACGACCCTCCTGCTCAGCCTCCCAGAGTGCTGGGGTATGGTGTGCACCACCACGCCCAGCCGTGTTATTTAACTCAGGCATTCTTCCTCTACTAGAATGCTTATGGAATAAATAGTATTTTTTTTCCTGGAAAGATGGAGTCATTCTCAATAACTCATTTATTAACTCAACTATTTCTGAAGTGGATATCTCATGAAAAGCAGTATTGTTTTGTTTGTTTCTTGAGACAAGTTCTCATTTTATTCTTCAGATTGTCCTTGAGCTTACTATGTGGCCCAGGCTGGGCTTAAACTCATGGCTGTCTTCCTGACTCAGCCTCCTGGGACTACAGGCATGGGCCACCATGGGATTCCCCAGGCATCAATAAAATAAATGAAGTGCTGATATGTGCCACAACAGGAAAATCTTGAAAGTAATATTCTGGGTAAAAGAAGCCTGTGATGAATGACCACGTATTACACAAAAATTCTATTTTGGCCAGGTGTTGAGGTGCATGCTGTAATCTCAGCACTCTGGGAGGCAGAGGCAGGAGGATCACAAGTCTGAGCCCAGCCTGTGCAATTTAGCAAGGCCTGGCATCTAAGAAAAAAAGCCGTAAAAAAAGACCTGGGGATGTAGCTCAGCCTGAAGGCTGTAGGTTCAATCTCCATACTGGAAAAATAAATGCCCAGACAAGAAAAACAATTCCACTTCCATTTATATGAAATGTGGGGTACAGGCAAATCGTCAAGTGCAAAAGGTGGAGGTGCTGTACAAGTCCGAGTGTACTAAAGCCACGGTATACACTCTTTAAAGGGCGAGTTGTGTGCTCTGTGGGTTGTATCTCACTAGAGGTGTGAAAAAAAGCTCAACAATAAAAAACAGGCAAAAGACGTGAACACATATTTCACTGACAAAGGACTTATGAAGTAGGGTAAAAAATATGGTGAATGTTTAGTGGGTTTTGTTTTATTTTATTCTGAGACCATCTCACTGAGTAGTCCAGGCTGGCCTTGACTTTACTATGGAGCCCAGGGGCTGGCCTCAAACCCATGGTGATCCTCCTGCCTCAGCCTCCCAAGTGCTGGGATTATAAGTGTGCACCATCACCCAGGTTCTCCCACACACCTCAAATTACCTCTTGAAAAATTAGTCCCCTCAGAGTACCACCCTTTGCTGTGAACACACTTACCCCGCACTCTGAGCGCTTTCTGAAGCAGTCCTGGATGTGCTCTTTTGAGCATCTTTTCCTGTGCGGTCAGGTTGCCTTCATGCCTGAATCCATTCAAAATGTTTACCTTCAGTAATCCTTTGTTGGGGGATTTGTGTGCCATCCCTGGTGCATAAGGTGGATGCGAACACACCGGAGCCCTCACAAGCCCACCTTCTCACTGGACAAAGGCACACTTGATCACGCTTCATAAAGAGACTCCCAAAACGAGGACTTGCACACCTGCTTTAGAAAGGTGGCAAGGATGACGGGGTGAGTGTATTCAAAGTGAGGGGATTAATGACAATGTGTCTCTTCCTGTAATTTTTTTTTTTTTTTTTGGTACTGGGGGTTGAACTCTGGACCTTGCATTTTCGAGGCAGACAGCAGAACCACTGAGCTAAGTCCTCAGCCCTATAATGATTCTGAGACAAGGCCTCACTATATAGTTCAGCCTGGCCTTGAACTCACAGTGATCTCCTGCCTCAGCCTCCCGAGTGCTCGGATTACAGGCCTGCACCTCCATGCCCAGCCATAATTTTTTAAAAATTGAGACATGGTCTCACTAGGCTGCCTCAAACTCACCATAATCCTTCTGCCTCAGCCTCCCAAGTGCTGGGATTACAACCCTCCATGCACTGCTTTACTGTAATAATTTTAAACGCTATTTTTATCAGCCTTTGTATTGATACAAATAAGCACATGAAGCCAGGCGTGGTGGCGCATGCCTATAATCCCAGCACTCGGGAGGCTGAGGCAGGAGGATCACTGTGAGTTCGAGACCAGCCTGGGCTACACAGTGAGTTCCAGGGCAATCTCAAGTACATAGTGAGACCCTATCTCAACCCCCCCCAAAAAAATAAAACAAAACAAAAAAAAAAGCAAAAAAACCCACCCCAAAACAAATAGGCATATGAAAGGATGTTGGATATCATTAGCCTTTTGGGAAATACAAATGAAACCACAATGAAATATCATTGTATCCTTATGAGAATGGCTAAAGTGAAAAATATTGAGCGTGCCAATTGCTGGTGAGGTACTTGGTCATTCCACATTAATGGTAAAAATGTAAAATGCTACCTTCAGGTAAAGTGCAAGTTCCTTACAAAAGTAAGCAATGTGCTCACCTTATGACCAGCAATTGCATTCTTGGGTATTTGTCCCAGAGGAATGAAAACACGATGGTGCAGAAAGCTCCTCTGTGTGGAAACGTGTCCAAACCTAGAACAGCCGAGTCCTCCGAGCGACGAGTGTCCATAACAGCTTTGTCACCGCCCCGAACTACAAACCTCCCAGAAGCCTCTGAGGGTGAACTGTCAAACGCGCTGCCTCCTCACCCACCGGAGCGGGGCTGGGTGAAAGGTTCGGGATCGTTACAGACAGACGGCGCCCAGCCTGGGTGGATTTCCAGGGAGCGGTGCGGGGGTGAAAGGCGCTGCCTCGGGAGACTCGATACCAGGGGGCCCGTCAGCATCAGGAAGACAGCACAGCTGGGTGGCACAGGGAGGTCACGTCCTCGTGTCGTGACTGGTGGCCACCGTCGGAGTCCACATGCGCACACGCGAGTCCAGCGTGTGTGTCAACCCGGGCGAGTGACAAGGCCCTGGGCAGCCAAAGGCACCGCGCACCGAACTGCAGGAGCCTCAGGCCGGGCCGGACCCTGTGTTTCCTGTGCTCCGTGGGGCTGCACGGGAGCCCTCGGTTATCTCAAGAAGTTAGGAGGAAGAAAACAGCAGGCTGCGTTTGGCCCCTGACCGTCCTGCCCGCTGTGGGGAGTGAGGGCGGAGGGGTTTGACCCGGGGAGAAGTAAGGTTGTTGTTTTTTTCTTTTTGGTACCGGGGACTGAACTCGGGTCCTTGTGCTTGCGAGGCAGGTGGTGGAACCACTGAGATAAATCCCAGGCCCAAGGCTGTTTTTTCTTAATACTTCTGGTGGTGCTGGGGATTGGACGCAGGGCCTTTGCACCTTCGCACATTTGTTTTTCTGAGGAATCCCTCCGGCCATAGACGGGGCAGGGCAGGGCCGGGAGGAGGAGGATGGCTGAGCCCTCCAGGTGAAGGGGGCAGCGCTGGACACTGAGGTAGGAGGCTGGTGGGGGGCGCGACCGGAATGCTCTTCCCTTGAAAGTCCGGTGGCGATGTGCAGTCTGCAGCTCCGAGATAAGGTCCCGGGTGTGACCGAGATCTGATAGGGGTGACATGGACAGCGTGACCTTGAAGAGAGCTCAGGGACAGGCAAGAAAAGAAAGAGCTCAGAGGATTGAATCTGAGGGAAGGACTAGGATTTGGGATGCTGAGGAAAGGCAAGCAGAAGCCAGCATTGGTTGGTGACTCAAAAGCCTAGCAAAGCAGGGCGCCGTGGCACACAATCCCAGCACATGGGAGGCTGAGGCAGGA